TCGGCGAAAGAGAACTCCCCCCGCACACCGCCATAAGCCATGAAAAATCTTTAACGTAGTCAAATATAAAACTCTCGTTGGACACGAAAATTTTATACTCTGCAGGGCTCTCATCAAAACAGTACTTTGCCCTTATTGGTCCATTGAGATTCCTAATGTTCGGGCCGCGAATTCTCAACCTACGCTCGGATAAAGGGACTTCAGTTGTGGGTACAGTGAGACGCTAGAATATATTACGACAATGCAATCTGATACAATGCGTTTTGTATAGATCGCGCGTCCCATAAATATACACTTATCTTCAGCTCAAATATTACATTTATGATAGTTGATAATAAGCTAAAAATTTCATTGCTATGCGTACATTTCCACCTTCGTACTTAAGTGACTAACTTATAATTTATTAATGGAGACCCATAATTAAACCTTCATGTCTGTCACTTCTCAACCCTTAGCATCACCAGCTCTCTCTGTGCCAGCTCATCAGAATGAAGATAAGAATCAAAACAACATCATCTCAGCTCAATTATCAACATCTTTACTGTGGGAAGTATGTACTGAAACATCTCAAGTTTCTTCTACAGAAACACCATGTTTATCATCCCAAAATGTACCGTGGATCGTTCATGAGACTCGAAGTGCCATAGTTTTGGATAACAGAATGCAAGTGAATGTAATTGACGACAAGGAATTGAATCAAAACATGCAGACAACTATTCATTCGAATAAAAAGGTCCAGACAATAGCACTAAGTGCTTCTGGAATAGTTCTCGCAATTGTAGATGTTACAGCGATGGTTTCTCTCTACAATAGCAACGGGACACTTTTGCTCGAATACCAACTTGATCTTGATGTCTCCGATACAGTTGTCTCGATGAATTTAATGTCATTACACTATAGCGAAAGCTCAAGTGAGATTTTTAAACTAGTGATAGTATCAAAGCATGGAATTTTATTGGAATTGGGTGATTTTCGACTTACTGAGCTCGAACTATTAGCAGCAGAGAAGCTTCAAAACGGTCGAAAAGAGATTCTTGATACACTTTGCTGTAATCGAATAAGTGCAGATTGTCTTAAGGATGGTGCGCCATCGTGTATACTGGTAAGAACTAGAAAAGAATGAATTTGAGCTGGCATTTAAAATAAATTTGTTGTTCATTCGAAAGGTACATCAATTTCAGTCGGTAAATTATGTAATTTTAGGAAACCATGGAGGATTTATAAGCGTGTGGAAATCGAAAGAATGTGAGAGGAACTTTGAGGTACGTTCAAAGAATTTGTTTGAAACGATTTGAAGTTTATGCGTGCAATTGGTAAATAGAAAGTTGCAGTAAGTTTTAAGTCAGGTATTGTTGACGCCATGGACTTTGATACGAACTACAGCACACTTGTGATTCTTTGTGACGGAAAATTGTCGTGGTATGATACGAAAGCAGTATTTAGTGTGCAGGTGATGCAGCTTTTTACGGTTTACGTGTCAATTCTAGGTGGCACTGGCGTGACAGTCTGACCGAGTTGTTCGAGGCAAATATTACTCGGATCGTAAGCTTTGCTATTCTTAAAGGTTGTGGAGAGAACAAACACGAGGAGATATCACGACTTGCTGTTGCAAGATCGTATCAAGATGGCAAATTCATGCCGTCGTTTGAATTATTAGAGATCTTGCACAAGGAATCTGCAAATGTTCAAGCGAGTGTTGTTTCGAAATTCAAGTCAATCATCAATTTAAAAACTCCAGCTACATATTTAAACGTAGCACTGTTTGCAAGTAAGAATTCGAGTACTCAAGCGTTTGCAGCTTGTCGAACCGATCGTGGTATCTCTATGTTCATGTTGACCGAAGAAAGTGATATATCGTCAAATATTACAAGTGAAAGTTTTGTCAGCGAAGATAAAGACATGATTTACGACCAAGATGCTGTGTCGATTGCTGAGTCTTTGGCGAGTACACCAATTTCGTTTCTCTTGCAGGAGCAAAATATGAAGCAGATTCAGGCAAATCTTAACATCTGTATGAGTTGTATTGGCGAAAGTGACGAAGATTCTCGTGTCATTCTTAACAACTTGTTAGCAGTAGCAGCGAAAATTCGCGAACATTTAAGCTCGTCACCATGTTTTTCCCTCGATCTAACATTGTTATCGCGTTGGTGTGACGAAATTAGTGAGTTGTCGTACAAATGGACAACATTCCAGCTACTATATGATATAAGTACAGAATCATATGGTATGACTCGATTTGAAAAGTGGCAACAATTTCAAGTCAAGGCAGTGAGTGACATCATGCTTACATATATTGAAATGGGTTGCATGAGGGCTGTAAGGATATTATGGGATCGTCACGTTGATGAGGTCATCATACGTAATATTGGAATACTGCTAGAACACTTGCCACCGTCCCTTCCACTTTCAGCATTTGCACCATGGATTCAATCTAGAGTTTTACCAAGTCTTTTGACTTATCTAGAGCAAAGTCAGATTGTCAAAGCAGTGGACAGTACAGAAGCAAGAAGAGAAGATTTGCTCGCTAATGTGGTGATGTGGATTCTTAAAAGAGCGGAAGCTGCAGCTGCACAAAGTGACATTGACACTGCCATTGGTATTTGCAATTTGCTCAGAAGTTTGGATGCAGAAATTGCAATGGATGTTGCGGTGGTGTATCCGAATGGGTCCAAAAGTCAAACGTTAAGTAAATTGAACGACCCAGCGCAGAGCGCTGAAGCATCATGGGAGTTAAACCTATCTGAACGTCTGGAGCAGCTGTATGATAAGTTACGACACGTTCAATATCTTGCGGTGGAGCATCATTTTGTCATTTCTTTTCCTGTTTTTGAAGGTGAGACACCTGCGACGATTGCGATGAGTATGATGGACCGAGGATTAGATGCAGATTCACTCAAAACGGAAGTAAACGAGCATGTGCAAAAGTATTTGCGGGCTTATAACGTTGATGTCGATTTGGTCTTATACGAATACGTCACGGAGCTTGCAGAATCTATTTCGACTTGCGATTCTACCGGAGAAAGCAGAGTTTTAGTGTTGCTTGATGAGATTCAAAATGAAAATTTACGAGTTGATGCGACATTAGCGATACTACGATCAGTTATCCCTCCATATTCGGACACACTTAAAAACTACGTCACTCATTGCACTCGATGGGAAACGGAGCGTGTTCATGAGATCAAAGAGCGTGTACGTTTGATGAAAATTCAGGATATGCTCACGAAGTATAACATTAAGCGTTATGATTCGACCGACACAAAGAGTGCGTCACGATATATGTCACATATTCTGACTCATGTGTCAATGCCCACTGCTTTCAAAGATGCGATGCTATTGATCGATGCACATTCTGGTCTGCGCTGTGATAGAGCGGCAGTTCTCTTTACCGAGAATTTGTTTTATATCGCTGAAGAAACATCGAGTGATCGAATATCGAATGAGGTTTCCATCAGGGTGGCGAGCGCAATGGAAGCATTTGCTGAAGTGAAGAAGCGAATAGATTTGTCTATGTTGCACGCGTCTTTGCTGGAAGAAGTTGTAGAATTTGGTGTGATGTTGCTGGAGGTGGAGGCTGAAGAGATGGAGCAAGCATATGATAAAAGTACGAATAAGCCGCAATCTTTCGTTCTTTGTATGCTTAGGTCTCTTGTTGAAGCGTTTGTATCCGAGCTCAAGTCATTGTTGAGATTTGCGTCTACGGACTCGATCAGAGATTACGTCGAGAGTTCAGAGTATTTGCTGTCTGATGCGTTACTGACAGATCTCAACACAATCTGCTACATTGAGGCCGAATTTGGACTTTTACTTTCAATCTCGGCTTTACGTGATCCAAAAGTTTGCAAGAAAAAGTTAAAGAATCTGATAAAACCTGACGTTTTGTTCCGTGGAAATGATGAGTTGAAAAGTACAAATGATTGCGTTGTGGATGCGACGGGCTCGGTGAGAGGCAAAGGAAAGAAACGAGCTGCAGTATTGACTCAACTCAGTAATGCTGAAAAGAGACAACGAAATAGTCAATCTATTGAACATCAACCGTCATGTTTTACAGACTTAAAATTGCGTCCCAATCGCGCGCTACAGCAAGACGACGAGAAAATTCGGCTTAGTTTTAATTTGAATCGATTCGCTTCTGCTGTGGGCATTGATGCCGAAAAGTGTCGAGTTTTAATCGCTCAAGTGGCGGTCGAATGTGGCTTTATCTTGCAAGCAGTACATTGGACTCGGGGATTATTTATCAAAAAACTCAGTGGCCGAAGCAACAGCTCCATCTTATCAAATAGTTCAAAACATACTGTTTTTTCAAGCAAGATGAATCTCGCCAAGACATTGAAAAAATTTGTGCTTTCTCTTTTGTCGTACTCGTCAAGTGACGGGATCTATGGTGAGGTGATTCCACATAATCAGTCACATATTCAAGTTGATTTAGCACAGGCTCAAGCTCTGACATACGCGTTAGAATTGTTGAGCTTTGCGCTCTGCACGTGCGACAAGGAAGACCTAGACGAGCTGCTGCTTCTATTCAAGATGACGAGTCATGTGAATGAGGCACTGCAGCTTACACAACACAATGATTCAAAAACAAAGATAAATGAAGGATGGTGGAAGTTATACCCACGCTGGTATCGAGGAGATGCGTGTGCTTTGACTAGCTACAAGACAATGAAGCTAATGAAGAAGTTTGCGATGACTGAATACGATAATATTAGGCGCAAAGGCCAAGATAAAGATTTGATTGCATTTAAGCACTATGTATCCTTTCTTGTCGAACAGCGAGCGGATCTGCTTAGTTTGCAGGCTTTGATGTCCATGCCTGAACTGGATGAGGAAGCAGCGATCGTTGCAAATAACCAAATGATCAAACTCTTGCTAAGCGTTTTTCAGTCACAGGAAATCGACAACCACCTGGCGCTGGGGTATGTTTGTCGTTTATTCGATTCATTTCATGACTTTATCACTGATTATGATGAAATTAATGTAGACTGATGCTCTCAATGAAACAAGAGGATGCTTTTCATGCCTTTCGAAAGCAAATCTCGCGCGAAAATGTGGCAAAAGACTTTCAACGTTTTCAGCACCTTGCATTAATTGGTGCAGATGCTGCTAGAGCGTGGCAGCAGATTGCATTTTTACACCAGTGTGTGGAATTGGAAGAAAATGCAAGATGGTGGCATTACCTCACTCTTCTCGGCATTGAATGCGACCACAAAGCTTTTCATAGTAAACGTCGTAACTTGGCGTACATTCGCCGCCTCGTACCACAGCTACTCACTCGAAGCTCATACGATTTTTACACGGTATTAGAGTTTACGCGTTACTACCAAATTGACGACAGCTTTACAGCTCTAGTATATGTACAAGTGCTGTTAGTGGAGCCATCTGCTACTACAAATTTAGAATACCAAGACAAAATTGCAGGCGTGCTTTCTGACATTCATGAGCAGCATTTGATCAAAATGTTACTGAAAAGTATTGGCAAGATTTCGGGTCACGATTACGACCGGCTCCTATTTGCATTTCGACTGTTGCTAGAGAAAACGACTTACTGTGAACGGAAAGAGGTCACGCGACGAATGGAGATTTTGCGCATTTTGAAGGAGTTTGCTGCATTTTCAAGTCGGAATATCCAACCGCTTAATAAACACGTGATTCGAGATAGTAAGCGTCTTAGTCACGATGTTTCATTTCATGAGCTGATGGCTAAACCTCGTGAAGTGCTATCTCGACTAGTTAGCAGAGAAAATTTTGAGTCTTTGATTCAACTCGCAGAACCTCTCCAATTACAACGAAACGAATTACTGATGTTGCTTTTGAAGAATATGATAGATACACATCTCAAGTGTACATCAACGATAGAAAGAGACAGATGCACCACAATGATCGCTTTTGGTGCTTTCGAAGGAATACTGCAAGGCTTAAGCGACATTGAGAGTCGAGTAACTGCTGCCGAGTGGCTTGCCGAGAATTTTCCGTTAGGTGACGAGAAGCTAAAAGCACTCAATTTTGCATTGAAAGCGGCTGAATCAAGTCAAGAGGAATTTGAAAGTCTGACCAATACCTCATTTACTGGGCGTGAAGCTTTGACGCGTCTGGAAGCCAAAGTGCTCAAAGTTAAAGTGGAAATGCTTCTCCGCAAGGCAAAATTGCAAACGTCTAATGGGGCAGAAGTGAACAATGTCCAAGTGCAAACTAATCAGCTCGTCGCATTAGTGTCAGAGCCTGAAAAACTGTTCCGAGAACTGTATAAACGGTGTGCTTTGGAGTGTTTCGATGAAAAAAATGATGTGCTCGATGCATTGGCTTCTAATATAGGAAATTTGCTTCACTTGCCTCAAGCGAAGATCCGCCTTGACTTGGTTCGTGAATGGCTTGTTACAGACGCAGTGCATTTTGACAAGGTCGTAACAAGCCAGGAAGATCCGTTTGAGCACGTTCAAGAAGAGAAACTGCACAAGATTGATCAAGACTTTGTAAAACGAATTGTTTGTTTGGCAAGTAAAAGTGTCAAAATTGGGAATTCGTTTGGTGAGCAAGTTTTTAGCTTTCTGGTTGAGTTTGCAAGAGACTCGCGTCCGCGGACAGGTGTCACATTTCGTGCAAAGTTGAGAGCACTTTGTGTAATCCAGCGCTTGAGTCAGTTATATCGTGCTGCTGTGGTACGAATCGTGGATTCCAAGTACAATGTCGAAAATACCGACTCGTTCTTGATAGAGCTGGTAGAATATCGAAAACACTGCACTCATATGGTTACTTTTGAAGAACATCGTGTACCGTACGATATGGCATACTTGTTGGAATGTGATAAAGAGGTGCTCACGCGCAGTATTCTTCAAAGATTTTCACTACATGAGCCTTGGGTGCTACAATGTGCTAGTCATCTCATGCTTGAGTTTGGAATTGAAGCGCTAGATCTTTGGGAGGATGTCCTGACAAACATGCTGCAGTTGGGAATGATTCGATCTCTTCATGCAATTCTAGAAGCTTTGAGCTCAAAGGTGTTTGTACGCTCACTCAAGTGTGGCCGGCATGTATGGGAAAAAGTATTGATCTCTCCCCTATTTTTTCTGAAAGATAGACTTCAACATCAGTCGACATCTGGACAAGACACGAGCGAATGCGATAGGTTATCAAAATTTAAACATGAGAGAAATGTTGCTTCGCCGAGCTTTGCTGGAATACCCATCGTCAATATCCGTTGTGTCTTGGAAAGAATGGTAAAGTTGCTTCAAAGATGCCCATTTCTTGACCAGATTGACGTACCTGCTATCGTTAAACATGTTCGAGATCTTGCTACTTTAGCCGAAGATGAAGCGAATGGGGCAGAGATTGCTCGACAAATTGATTTGAATGGCTGTGGGATCAAGTGTGCTATGGTCATTCCACAGCCACTAGCTCGATATGAGTCTCTTGTTGAGTATATCCATGCCAAAGCTTACGATTCGGTATATAATGAGTTGCTGGAAAACTTTTGCTTCATCGATTGCAAACCCGGTATCGACAATAACGATGAAGAAATTGGACACGATTACCGCTTGATCCAGAAATGCTTTTCAGAAGCTGCAAAACGAAAAGACTATGCGTTTATCATGAACACTCGATTAGAGACTCAATTTATTGAATATTTGGCCGCAAATGCCAGCATCGACTATCTGGTCTCGTTATTGTAAGTTGCGCCAGCTTGCTTTGTACAGTTTTGTCTCCTTACCTCAGTCTGGTATACAGATTGGCTGACGAGCGCATGGAGGCAGCTTTAAAGGCGGTGGAGTTCTATTATAAGTATCACCCATCAACAGCCCCGTCAATAAAGAAAAGTGCTTGCTTTGAGTCTGATAGTAATCAAGAGGTAGGAGCTTCTAGTCTCACACGCTGGGAAATACTGGACGCGTACTTGGCTTCTTCAACGTCAGAACATCTGACACAGTATCAAGCGTCAAAACAATTTTGTGAAGATGAATGATTTGGAACTTTCAAGACGAGTTTTTGAAGAGTGCGTTATGTTGTGATATCTCTCTCGTTGACAAAGTAAATGCGAAAAAACACGTAGAAGGCAAATAGCGCGAAGATGTAAGCTCCCATGATAAATATGGCAGTCTTCGTCATTGGCGATTCCTCAAGATCATGGTGGATTCCAGCCTGCACTTGTAAAATACCGCTTGCATTCATTGTGAAGGTGACGGGATGCGAATATTCCCCCGCCTTTCCAATCTTGTTCCGAGGTAATGCAAAGTTAAAGTAGCAAATGTGATCGTTTTCCTTAGCAATATCCTTTTCGCCTTCATAGACTTCAATTGTTATTCCACGCTGGTTATCCTCGTAGGTCGTAAAGTATTTCGTCACTGTCGTTGGAATGCGTGCATTTCTAGGGAGAATCACCTCCATCGTACCATCTGCCGTCTCAAGCCCGATAGGAAGCGGAAGGACATCCATCATAAGTACATCACGGAACACGCGTTGATCGATACCACTCAAGATTGCAGCTTGGATAGCAGCACCTTCACAAACAACTTCATCTGCATTTACAGACATACAAAGTTCCTAACACAGTAACAACCACAGAGCTGGTCAGTCGCAAATGTAGTTAATAATTCGTTCTACCTTTTACATACTTTGCCATGAAAAGCTTTTGATATTTTTGAGCGCAAACAAGGAATTCTAGTCGATCCACCGACCAAAATAACTTCGTCCATGTCAGCAGCATCGACTTGTGCTTCCTTTAGTACACTTGACATAATCCGAAGACATCTATATTAAAAGGCAGAGCGAAAGTTAGTATTTTTTCAACATGTTAAGACCTTCATAACAAATCACCAACTTCTTCCAGATAGGGTCACACAGTTGTTCAAACTTGCGTCGTGTAAGTGTGACTGTAACCCTCGGTACACCAGCAAGATCACGCACTATCACATCTGCTGACTCTTCTACTGACAATTGAATCTTGAGCTTTTCCACTTCTTGTTTCAAACGCACTAAATCTGCTCCAGTAACTTGCGAACGTATCACGTTATGACGTTTATTTAGCACTTCAAGTACATGATCCAGCACCAAATTATTGATGTCTTCTCCTCCCAGATTCGTATCCCCTCCAATACCTAATACTTCAAATTTGCCATCTTGAATACGTAGTAACGACACATCAAGTGTACCTCCTCCAAAATCAAATACTGTCACTAACTTGGTTCCCGACAAAAATAATCCGTACGCCATCGCTGCCGCTGTAGGTTCATTAAGCAGTCTAACGGCCTTAAATCCTGCCATCAAAGCACTGGTAATCGTAGCTTTCCTCTGTGCGTCACTAAAGTACGCTGGTACTGTAATAACTACATTGTTTAAGCGTGTTTGACCGTCAAAATAGGCCTCGGCAGAAGTCTTAAGCTCAGTCAAGATGTAGGCCGAGACTTCTTCAGGCTGTACCTGCACCTTTTTATGACCTCGTACAAGTTGAACTGCAACGTTTTTCTGAGCTGTGGGCGCCACTTCATACGAAGCATAGATCCTGGCCACATCAGTCGCTTTGCTTTCATATTTCTGCCCCATGAGTCTTTTGATTGAGCGAATGGTGTTCCCCACAGGCTCAGAGGTTTCAAGGTCAATAGCTGCTTGACCCACATCCACACTTTGACTTGTAGGATCAAAATGCACTACAGAGGGCGTCGTGCGACCACGATTTAAACGATTCTTAAAGATTTTCACATGGTTACGGTCCACATACCACATTCCCACGCCTGATAGAAATATTTAAGCGTAGAGCTGTAGTTAGCATGTGGTAGGTAGGAAAGAAGAAGACAATTAGGTAGAGTACATGAGTTTGTTGTGCCTAGGTCAATACCCAGACAAATCGTGCCGTCCGCGAAGCGCTCGCTGGCACTACCCCAGCTATCATACATGGTTGTCATTTGTATTTGATTGGATATATATTAATGGCAAGTCGTAGTATTTTTGTAGTTCATATTATCATATTTACAATAACAAAAGTCGCGAAAATATGTAAATTTGAAGATACAGCAGTCAAACAGTTTATTTCTTGCACTCATTCTTTATTGTCTAAATTATAAATTGTTTTGGTTGTCATGAAGGCAATAATGGCGCGTCAAAAAAAATCCGCGAATTTTTTGCCCATTGACTCACACTTCCAGAGTGCGACTACTTCGACACATTCAACAGAAGAAACACAGTCCAAAGTTAATGCCATCGACCTGACGCTAGACGATGTACCGTTGAGTCCGTTTACTCGGCAAAAGCGCCAGCGCTCTTTCTATGAGGAATCAGACGACGAAGCGGAAAATAGGGAACCTAATACAGCGTATGATTTGATTCAACAAAGTCGACGCCGCTCAGCTGCACCGAATGAGCCTTCAAAAGCTAAGAAACGAGCCGTTGAAATATCAAGCGTAGATTTGCTTACCAAAGTTAATCGAATAGTCTTTGGAAACGACGATTTTAGAACGAACCAGAGAGAAGTGATAGAGGCCACAATGCGTGGGGAGGACTGTTTCGTGCTTATGCCAACTGGTGGCGGCAAAAGTCTGTGCTATCAATTGCCAGCTGTTATAAGCAAAGGAGTTACTATTGTTGTGTCGCCGCTCTTATCGCTAATCCAGGATCAGGTGACGGCATTGATACAAAACCCTGGGTGCGGTATTCCTGCCGCCTTCTTAACAAGCCAGACGTCGCTGACGCTCAAGAGATCGATTATAGCAGAGCTCAGGCGAACAGCTCCAAGTGTGAAGCTCTTGTATTTGACACCTGAAAAGATTATTAAGTCATCAGAGATGATGAATTTGCTACAAGGCTTGCATCGTAATCAGATGCTTGCTAGATTTGTCATCGATGAAGCGCATTGTGTCAGCCAGTGGGGACACGATTTTCGACCTGAATACAACCAGCTTGGATTGCTTAAAACGTCATTTCCTAATGTTCCATTAATGGCGCTAACGGCGACGGCGCCACCTAAGGTGATCAATCACGTCCGTAAGTCTTTGATGATTTCAAAAGGACTAGTATTTTCCATGAGTTTCAATCGACAGAACCTCACGTTTGAGGTACGGGATAAACCTCGTGGCGGCGACAAGAAGGCCATGGAGGCATTGTATGAGCTCATTTCGAAAACTTATCCATCCGATGCAGTGGGAATTGTCTATTGCATGACCAGGCAAAATTGTGAATACGTAGCTGACTACCTTTTTGATCGCGGACTCCGTGCTGATTTTTACCATGCTGGGCAATCTGCGACAGACCGACACTTGGTGCAAGACGCTTGGCAAAATGGCCAAGTGAGTATTGTGTGCGCCACGATCGCTTATGGTATGGGCATTGACAAATCCAATGTTCGGTACGTTATCCACTTCTCGGTGGCTAAGTCCATTGAAGGATATTATCAAGAAGCCGGTCGTGCAGGGCGAGATGGCAAACCTTCGCAGTGTATTCTCTTCTATAGCCCGACTGACGTCTCTAGGATGCGCCACATCCTTAGCATGCCACAAAAAGGCATGACGAAGAAAACGCGCGCGGTTCATATTGAAAAGCTCCGATCTATGGCTGAGTATTGTGAGAACGACACAACATGTCGTCGACAGTTGCTTCTTTCGTACTTCGGTCAGCAGTTTCAGCGCTCAGAATGCAACCGGACATGCGATAATTGTCGACGTAACGTGCAGCTTGCATGAATTTGCAAGAATTTGCAGCATCGTAAAGCCTCGAAGCATTGCTATGTACATTTGGAGATCAGATAAAAGTATTGGAGCCCTCGACGAAGTAGCAACGTAGGCAATACTTTAAACGTAAATTAATCGTTCCACTGTTTTTTACACTGCACACACTTATAAAAAGTCGTCGATGGTTCATCAGCTGACCGAATCTGAATCTGCATAAAGTACGCCTTGTTGAACTCGCAATGTGGGCAGCGTGCTAAGTAGAGAGAGAACAACTATCAGCTATTAAAGTACATGAAAGTTACTCAAAAACGACTTACTCTCAGTCTGATCAACGTTCTCCCAGGCTTCATCACCGCCAAGCACATCATCTACCTGTTTACGCTGTAATGGCACCTTTTTTTCTATTTTATCATTAATCTGAAACAAATATGGGCATGTCTGGCAAAAGAAGCGCATGCCATCCGACTGAGCAATCGCACGAAAACAACATTAACAAAATGACCTTTTTGTAAAGTTACATTCCACGTACATCAGGCTCTATGAGCAGAATGTTGCCGCATGATGGACAGAAGTGCATAATGAATGGAAGTGGATAGAGCAATATTTAAATTGCTTCAGTCTAAAAAGGTGATTTTGTCCAATCAGGTCAGAAAAGAGTGATGGAAGTGATCGATGCGACTTGGGCGCGCTGGCTACGCTTTCATCAGCGCCATTGTACAACCCGAGAAATAGATGTGGCAACTGCTCGAACACAATTTGAATTGGTGGCAATAGGCCTCACTTTGAGCTTTAATGAGGTTCAAATGCTTTTCAGTAATGATGCACAAGCGCTAACAACAATGTTTACGCCTTTTCCGAAACCTCAGGACGACGTGGAGAGCACTTGCCACTATCACTTTAGGCTAGTGGTATCTGCAACATTGCTGGATGATTATTTACAGTTTGTGGAGGCACTGGAAGCTCAAACGATGCGACTATTGGTCAGTAATTGGACAATGAACGTGCTATTACCTGCGCTGAGGCTAGAACGTCTCGCTTATCTTCATCCCACAGTGCTTAGAATACTACAAACATTGTTAAAGACGTACAAGGACCAGAAAGAAATTAAGCAAGTGATTACTATGATTTTGCAACTTCTGAGCGATCCTGGAGATGAAGAAGTGAGCTACGACGCGCTGTGCAGATTGCTACGGCTTTTGCAACAGCAAACATACAACTCGGTGGATATATTACAAATTTGTGCAATGGCAATAAAAGAATGGAGACTTCGACCACGATTTCTTCGAAGTGCTGTCCTACATCTTGTGCCAATGTTGCTAGAAGACAAAGTGGAGGGTGAGATGCATCAACGACTACTTGAGTTAGTGCTGGATGCATGGGATCCACACCAGACAATGGAAGATCCTCGGGAACTACTGTACCTAGTATGTACCATTATCTCAAAAGCCCCTCGTGAACTTATGTCAGATGCACGATTACAACAGCTCGTTTGCTTCGCACTGCGACACAATGATGTGTTGCTGAGAAAACAAGGTCTTCACATTCTCAAAGTCGCGTTCTCACTTTGTGTTATGGATCTTGAATCTGACCGACTGGAAAATGCAAGAGATACAGAAGTGACATGGGTGGACTTATGGCGAAAATTTCTTACTGCCTCGGAGGTAATTCAAATGCATCACGAACAGCATCTCATTGAGCAAGTTTGGACTCAGGTTGCGGATCTATTGTCGACAAATCTGGTTGTGTATGAAAACGAAAACATAAATGAACAGCAGGACAAAAATCAGTGGCCGGTGGAGCTAACATTCGATTGGGTACAAGGTCTTTTGCTGCGTTTATTCAACCATGACAACCCCTTTGTGAAGCGTTCGTTCCTCTCGAACTTCACAGAAATCTGTATCAATAGTTTCCAGTTGTGTGGTAAACAGCATTTTACCAGCAATGATGTTGATAATAACGCGTCTTTTGCCTGTTCGCCTACTTTCCGATCTTTTGTCCTTAATGACATGTTACGTGCCTGCAACGACCCAGTGTTGTACAAAAATGCGCATCGTGCTCGATTTCAGACTTCAGTGACCCATTTTTTGGCATCTTTTCTTTCATTCGAGCTCACAAACAGAGTAAATGAGTATCTTTTAGATGATTTTGTTGCTGCTGTCGATGTCGCGATTTTTGGAAAAGACGAAACGAGTCACTCACCTGAGGCTTTATTGAGCATGCTGCAAGTATTTCAGTCGCCTCATCTAAAGCAAGCAGCTTCACTTGCTTCACCAAAGATACTGTTAAGCGATTCCGCTGTAAATCAGCTTCGCGTTTTGCTTGACATACATGCCATGCAATCGTTTTCTCAAGTAATGAGATCAAAAATGCTTTGTGCACTGACTCACGCGCTCACGGGAGGATTCGTCGATGCAACAGCAATATCTTTGTCGACATTGGCACGTGTCCTTTGTATCTATCCCAATAGTATCTTAGTGACTGAAGGTGGTGAGACACTTGGGCGATATCTGTCATGGATAAAAAGCTCTACCTCAATTGAAGGCTGGACTAAATTTTTGAATTCTCTATCTTCTGCATTGCAAAGAAACCTGACCCCTCACGTTAGTCAAAGTGCAGAAAGTGAACTCAGCTCGACGCAGCTGGCAAGGCTATTGCTTTTGACTGCGGACAACATCAGTGAACCGGAGTCGCAGTATATTGAAGCACTGCCAGGGCATCAGATCCAAGTGGTATTGCGTGCTCCTCTAAGTGCATTGCTATCAGAGATTTCGCATAAAGATATAGACAGTACACGCCTCGTACTTCTAATTGCCAAGCTTGAACATCAAATTCAGGATCTGACACTCGTTTGTTCAAGTTCGCCATCCCACGGTCTTACATTCGCCTTCGAACGTGAGAATTTTTATGGGGGAGAAATTAGCTGCTCCTATCTATTTGAATCTTCTATGCAAATTGCCCGAAATTGTCTAGATAGCATTTTGTCGAAGAACAAGATGCAGTCTAGCGAAGAAAAGTTTAGCGAAATCATGGATTTGGCTCACTCTGCCGGATTAGTGCTGACCCAAATGAGCGCCCACCAGCTATATCTAACAGGAAGTATGCATGAAATGAGCAGACTTGACGCGTTATGCGATGAGTTTAAGGTTCTTCTGGCCTCATCTGCGGATCGAAATGTGCTGGATTTGGCCCTAGCGGCTGAATATTTGTCGACGGTTGGGACCAACGCTATTGCTGTGGATTCTCTGCATGCGTTTGAGACCCCACATCTTCTTTCAATTCTCCTCGCTCTTGACACAAGTCGACGTTATGGCGGAAAACTTGACGCTCGTTGTTCAATCCGTTTGGCTACTAGTAAATGGGCTTTGCTCTATCAGGTTGTGCAATCTTCGTCTTTTATAGATACGAAGCTCTTGCAAGCTACTTTCGACGCTTGCGTCAAGGCGTTACCGACTGCAGGCATGGATGTCTCGACGTTGCTACAGATGGTTAACGTGTTGTCACTTACACTTTCGCAATTGGCTGGCACCTTAGTTAACATGGATGAAGGATCAGATACAGTTAACAATTTGCTGGAAGAAGTATGGACTGCTTACATCGACAGCAAGGCCAAGCCTGACGCTCTCACACGAGCTGTCATTGTTTGCATGCTTCAGCCGGTCTTTCTCTTTCGAAAAGAGCTTACTTCAATGATGAAACACTGGATCGCGGAGTTTATCCGCTTTGGCTCAAGACATAGACCAAACGTGATTTTCCACTTAACTTGCCGGTTGTGCCAAACGTGGCGTACTCACCCGATGTTGGCGCTAGCTTTTGCTGATGAACTCGTTGAATTGCTCCTGTATAAAGAGCCACTGATTGACGAGAAAGAACAACTGTCAAGGGATACAAACGTTCCATTCCAAGGATTTCAAGGCTTTTCTCCCTCCTGCGAAGGTCAAGAAGCAGCTATCACGACCCACGCTAAAGATCAATTTGTTCGGCTTGTGGTACTAAGTTTCTTGGACGATATTTCTGTCGATAGGAGCCTTTTCGGAGAAGACACGCAAGCGCTCATGGATGCGCTTTTTGTTCGACTTGTCCAACTCAATGTAACACCAGACTGGCAGAAGCAGCACATGCTCAATAGCGACGGATTCGGTAAGAAGCTGCGATCGTGGCAGGCGCTTTGCATCGTAAGTGCGCATGTGACCAAGTCGCAGCTAACAACATTATTCTCAACGCTTCAAATTGCGTTTGGTGTACCGCAACTACCCAGTGTTCGTTACTATATGGAGCTCTTTGGCATGCGCATAGCTACTAGAATGCCACGAGAGGTATGCTCAGGTATCTTGCTTCCCATGCTTAGTGACGCCAACCTGATGCCCCAAGTTGGTGCTTCGATGCTTCTTGTGTCGGCCCATCTTGTCAATGCTCAGCTTGACAAAGAAAGTGTCGACTTCAACTGTGGAATACTTTTGGAAACGTTGCTCCCTTGGCTAAACTCGTCACATGGATATACACGAGTAGTGGCTCAGTATTTACTGTCCAAACTTCTTCCTCGTTATATCCATCAACTTCAAGTGCGCTATCCGAATTCTCCCGGTCTTCGTTATTTGGAAGGCACAGCGCGTTATTTAAGCACCAACAAAGAGTGCAAACGATTGTTACGACGCCAAGCACGTCAGTTTGAGGAATTTTACCCGGATTATGAGAGTTCCCTGCTTGGAATGCTGTCTTGTGGCTTCATAAGTGAGTTTGGCGAGCTTTTACCACGCGATGAGGCACTTCGATTTTGTGACCAACTTAAAAAGGCTATGAACGAATTGTATTCTCAGTACCAACTCGAAAACTTTCCCTTAACGCCATCACTGCAAAAGTCTAGCGGTGGATTTTGCTCAAAAGGTGATGGCTCAGCTGGAACTTTAATTGTACAGAGAAAAATTGACACCACGGCTTTATTGTTAGAAGATAGTGCACTTCCAGTAGCAATGCGCATAGACTACGATGCAACGCGCTATAACCATTCACTAAACGCTCGTCAACAACCTCGACAGCCAATAATCATGTGTGCAAGTTTGGTGGACAAGATTCCGAATCTAGCGGGGCTGGCAAGAACATGCGAGATATTTAATGCTGAAAAGCTTATTGTACCTAATCTTCGTCTGGCTCAACAAGACGTCACATTTGCAAATGTAAGCGCTACGGCTCACAAATGGATGCCTCTGGAAGAAGTTCGACCCCAAGGTGACGATTTGCATCAAATAATTTTACGTTGGAAACGAGAAGGTTACACAATTGTAGCACTCGAACAAACAGCATCCAGTGTGAGTTTGGCAAATTACACTTTACCACGAAAGATGGTTTTGATACTGGGCCGTGAGAAGGAAGGAATTCCGCTGGAACTTTTGCAGCTTGTTGACGTATGCGTCGAGATACCTCAATTTGGTCTGGTGCGCTCACTTAATGTACATGTGAGTGGAGCACTAGTGCTTTGGGAGTATACAAAACAGCAATTAACGTCAGGTGCTATCGAGTCGACTCTTTGAGTAAGACTGGAAAATATTTAGATCAGGTAGAAGATAGACAGAGGGATGCAAATATATCCCAGATACTGAGAAAAATTTCAAGGAGAGCACACCTTTTCTCAAGGTAATCTAGGTAATTCTTTTTCGTCTTGCAAGAAAAATTTGATGCGGCCACCGGTACTTGTTCCTGCAGGGTCTGTAAGATTTCGGCATTCTTTTACCAGGTCTGATTTTTAAGAAGCAGTTGATCTTTCAATTTGATCGAACATGTCACTCTGCAACAAGAGCGGCTTCACCACCAATGATATTACCCAATTCAAAAATTAAGCATAATTTATACAAGCAAAATATGATCATGGCATTGGATCACTTGTACGCCAACCTCATTTTTGCACGGACTTAGGATGCATTCCGAATTCATGAGCAGTCTATAACGCAGGTGGCGCTTGGCTGAATGATAATATCAATGACTTTACGTTCTCTGTGAATTTTATGAAATCATCATTATACCGTTTTGCCTTTGTTACGATGCGTTTAAGCAAGACTTTGGACACCACGTGTTCGAGTGATCAAAAGACGGTGTCGATAATCATTTCTGCGATCCAACTACATAAAATTCTCGAATAACACCGCAAAGCTAGAAGTTATCATTTTGTGTTTGGTGAAGAAGTTTATTATCGGCTCCGCTCTCATTTTTCAACGGAATCGTAATCAGTTGCTCCTGTAATTTGAACACCTCGAATCGTTAGCTCAGTGACCGGTTGTTTACATAATCTGCGTTCTTGTTTACGATGCTGTTTGAACGGAATAGAAGGAGCGACCAAAGATGGGTTTCTGAATGGAAGCACTGGTGGAGGTGGAGGCTCCTCGTCCAGCTAAATATACGATTACATCAGCCAAAACACATCGTGACACGCAATTTGAAATCGATTCTTTTTACGCACCCAAATCAATGGTGAAACAACTCGGCTTCGAGAAAGATTGCGCTTCCGCTTAATAGAGCTACTCCGACGTATCAAACGTTTCTGATTTCGAGTAGCTGCAACCCGAGGTGATGCACCTTTTTTCATGATACCCATGGGTGCTGGAGGAGGAAAACGAGTCGATATTACCGAACCAGTAGTAAACCTATCGTATGGCTTCGCACTCGCTTGATGGCTATCCGCTGATATTACAGAATACGGCGATAAAGGTTCATTGATAAAAGCAACTTCGCTTTTAAGTTCGGAAATAGCAGCTTTCTCAAGCCAAGAAGATCGTAACACCTCCATGATACTAGGTCGTTTTCGAGGCTCTTTCTGCAACATCATGTCAATCAAGTCACATGCTTCTTTTGATACTACTTCAGGGTCTAACTGATCGTATTCTCCTTGAGTGATACGGATGACAACGGCAGGATATGATGCAGCACCAAATGAAGGTTTTCCTCCGGACAACAGTTCATACAACACACAGCCAAGGGACCAAATATCAGTTGCAAATCCATGTAGCTTGCCTTCCAATAATTCGGGACTCATATAGAGTGGAGAGCCAACCACCGTTGCCGTTAAATCTTGCTTTTTTAGAACTTGATTTTCCCCAGCTGTTGGAATGATCTGCTTTGAAGTGCCAAAGTCACCCACAACGATTCGACCGGACCGAAACAATAAAATATTGTCACACTTTAAGTCACGATGAATGATATGGTGACTATGCAAATGAAGAACTCCTCTGACAATCTCAATAAAGATTTCACGAGCACATTCCTCGGTTGTACGCGTGACACGCAAATACTGCGCAAGACTTCCACCATCTGCATAGTCAAGCACGAGAATAAGAACTTGCTGACTTTCTTCAAGACTTTCCTTCCAGAAGGCTTCACGAAAGCCCACAATGTTTGGGTGTGCTGATAGGTGCTGAAGTATTGTAACCTCAGTAAGACACCTTTCTCTACATCGACAATGATGCAATCATCTTTCAGATTTACAATCGAACGTCCTACATCGTACCGCTCGTCGGATGATAGAAAGCTTACGTCCATCTCCTTCAGACATACATAGTCTCCAGAGGTTTTGTGCATGCATAAGAATACCTAAATGCAGATTGAGCGCTTATTCGAGTGAAACGGTATGAGTCTATATTATCGTACATACGTCTGCATAAGTGCCATGTCCAATATGCGCGAGTTGCGTGTATATGTCTTTGGACTTGACGGGTAACTCTTGCATCGCTATCGAATTTTCTTGCCTTTAACAATTGATCCAAATTTGAGAGCTAGACCAACGACCTCCATTTAGAGCTATTTCAAGCATATTGTAATAAATTTGCCATCTAAGTCCGTCGCAGCGTTTCTCCAGTGGTAGGAAAACATTTGATAGTATTTTCAAGAATTTTATAGGAAATCACATTCGGCTCTTCGTCAAGTGAGTGGACACTAGTGCTCCAACTTTGACGATGAATTGAGAGCTGTACGAATTCAAAATAGCCTTAGTTTGGATCAATCACAATAAATAGTTACATACTGTGCCGTGGATGTCTTTAGAGTAACCTGACGGTAGGGGTCGCGTTGTCAAGACAACCGTCGCCATATCAGCGAGAGCTGGGCTCTTTTTTTGAGTAAAAATAACAATTAGCGCTAGACATAAGCTCAAGCCAAATCCTAGCATTATTACCATGAGTCTTGATGCTGGTAAATCAGTATCCGCATGGGTTAATAAAACCACATTTACGCCTCCCTTAACATCCCAACATGAGTACGTAATGACTCTGACAAACTATTATTAAAACGTACATTCTTCTCGTGCGTCAGCGTCTTGCAACATCGCACAAAGTTTAGCACTGCTGCTTCTCCAAACCGCCAATTTAAAGCACTGACATCGTCCAGCACGATTGACTTAGCATTTTCATTTTCTTCATCAGTAAATCTTTTTAGATCGTTAAACAAATCCATCCACGCTGCCTTTGGATTCTGAGTCTCAAGTCTCGTCCAGTTGAGCACATAAAGTTGCTTCGTACTCTGACAAGTTGCAAAGTTGATACCCTACTGACAAAAACCCATTAACCTTCAATGTACTGTACTTGTATTTAGAAACGTGATGCATTCAGAACCAATTTGCGCCCGACTGCCGCATGATGTTCAGGAGAGTTGGCACTTGACACAACACACACGCGATGACCAGCTTTTAGAAATAATGACGTGAAATGATGCACTAAAAAGGACCCAGAAGCCTCTACGCAGTCTTGAATGATCACTAATTGCTGTTGAGGTGCAGATGTAGGCATCCATACTAAAGACTCGCTAAGGTGATACAATGATTCCGCCATTTGATTACCTATTGAATGTCTTCTATTTCTTTAACCATTTTGATTGGTAGAAATGTTGCCGACGTCATCAGTGCGCAATGAGCTCTGCAACCGGAGTCTTGTCTCGAGCAGTGCGTGGTGGCTCCTACCGCTTTATACAACGTCTCTGCACGTTTGCTGCCAACTCATTAGTGCTTCGTAAAGTACATCTTAATGTTGCAGGTGCTGTGACCATTCGCCTTGAGCTTGTGCTGGCCTCTATCTTTCTCTTGCGGGACGGATTTCGCCTCGCGTTCCTTCGTGTGCCATCACTTGACTCGAAAGATTTAAGTCATGGAACATCATACATTCAACAACTGGTCAACACTGCGTGGTTGTCGACGTTAATCAGTTGGATAGTAGCGGGAATTCTCCTCATGTATTCGTTCGTTATGAGTGATACCAAGTCTGAAATGGATGAGGTGGAACTGAGATATTCAACAGTGCTGGCGATGTATTGCGGTGCAGCGATGATCGAGGCTTTGGCTGAGCCAATGTATGTACTGGCACACGCAAGTGTACTCGTGAGCTGGCAAGTAGCTGCTCAGAGTGCCGCGTTTTTGGTCCGAGCAGCAGTGCAATATCTTGGTGTCGTGGTATTTGAGCTGAGTTTGACGGCATATGGGATCGCTGAACTATCATTCGCGTTGACGCTTCTAGTGACGTTCGCACTGTTTTTTTATCAGCGGATTCATCAAAGCTCGAGTACAAATACGTTCGCGTTGTCGAGTATGGGTCAATTACTACCACGCATACCAGAGAATGGTGTCGCTTGGTGTCACCCACAATTGACGGCACTGCTAGTGCCACTGAGTGTACAGAGTGGAGTTAAGTATCTCTTAGCAGAAGGAGATAAATGGGTACTTACAACTTTTGCATCGCTCCAACATATGGGGGTGTACGGATTGGTATCAAATCTCGGCTCTCTCGTCCCCCGTATCGTCTTCTTACCAATTGAAGAAACGACAAAAACAATTTTCAGTAAATTAGTGCTGGAGCAGAATCAAATGGACAATAATGCAAAAGACAAGAACAAGAGTTTGGCAAATGGACAAACACTTCTTTTGATGTTGCTTAAGCTTTTGAACTTGGGCGGATTAGTGTTTGTCTCCTTCGGAACTACGTACGCCAACACGTTGGTGCTGTTACTGTATGGAGCTGAGAAAGCTCATCAAGGTATTGGTGATGCACTGGCTGTCTACTGCGTCTACATTCCGTTTCTCGGTGTTAATGGTGTTTGTGAAGCTGTTGTTCACGCCGTTGGAAACGATTATGCGCTTATGCGGCTTAACAAACTACTTGGTCTGTTTTTTGTTATTTACGCCATCTGTGCGCTTGTGTTTATGCAAGTGTTTAAATGGGGAATTCTCGGGCTCATTCTGGCGAATTGTGTTAACATGGCGTGCCGCATACTCTACTGCTTGACGTTCCTGGCTTCGTTCTTTCGTTCGGTAACTCCACATGCTCAATTTGACAACGCATTTTTCAACGGGATCGCATTTTGGCTTCGATCGCTTCCTGATCAGCTCGTTCTTGTTGCTTTCTTCTCCTCTTTGATTGTGACGGCTATTTCCCAGCGCATTTTGTTGGCGAAAGACGCAAGCTCACTGATATATCACGCTCTGCATGTTGTTGTGGGTGTTTTTTGCTTTAGTGGAACAATGCTCACGCTTTACATCAAAGAGCGACATCTTCTAGGTGAACAACTAGCAGCAATGCGGGGGAATAATAAAACGCATAAAGATTAAGCAGCTAAGTTGAGCCTTATCAGGTCGATGACAATCCATTATCAATTCAAACATGGCAGAGCTAGACACTGAGCAGAGGCCTTGCGACCGTAGTCTTCAAAGCTGGCTGTCATGCGCCAAGTGCTGCAGCTCTCAGCCAACGAGTTACACGCACAAAAGAAATCCAAGTTGAATAAATTTGCAACAATCTGGTCTCGAAGCATAATTTCTCGTTGCTTAACGTTTCAAATGGCTTGCTGTCAACAATTGGATTCTGAGCTATAACACAAGAGCATCCGAGTGCTTTCATTGTCGTGCTAGCAATGTCGCCCTATAGACGAGTTTTACCAGCATATCGTTCAAAAATCGCGATCTTTGTATGTTACAAAATGCACACAATTCTAGATGCTGGTTCTGCACAGAATCGTTGCAATACGCGAAAGAAGTGCGGTTCAGGATAGCGTAGGCACAATTAAGCATTGTTCTTGTCAACGAGCGTCTGAATCGTCTTATATCATGACATGTCGACGGAATAACTAAACCAAACATCACATCTGTTCCTTTCAACAACACTACACTTCAATGTAAACAGATTTGATTTAAGTTTTCAGCTACATACAATGAGCGAAGCCAAACCCGTCAACTCTCGTGCCTAGATTTCTTTTTCTTCGCCTTCCTCTTAACCACTTCTCTCTGTTTGTCTTCATTCATCGATTCACTGCTTGTTGCAGGCTCTTCACTAATCTTCGCTTGATTCTTTGCCTTATTTAATTGCAATTCATCGCGCTTGAGTTTTCCATGACAGGAGCCATAAGCTCTTCGCCCGAAAAGCTTTCCACCCGTTGCAGCAAAGAGATCTTCATCCGTAGGAATCCGATACTTATTGACCATTTTACCTTCCACATTACTTCTCTTTCTCTTCTTCTCGCGCTTCTTTTTCTTTTTCTTCTTCTCGTCATTCTCCTCGTCCGATGACGCATCGATCACAATTTTGCTGGCCATGCGATCATACACATTGTACCACCATTGATTCGCCTGCTCTTTGACCTCCACTACATCTGCACCAACACCCTGTAATTCTTCGCGCCGCTTCACCTTGATGTGTGACTTAACGCCCTGTTCATTTTTGCCGAGACCTTTGCCGGCCGACCAGCCCATCTTCTCCATTTGCCGTCGCGCAAAATCTGATACTTCAGCAGCTGCACTTTCATTTGCTATGCTGCTGAGTTTATTCATCAGCTTTTTGCCGACAATAGGCAGTGTAGCATCGGAAGACGTGTCGCTAGTCATAGACGATGGAAGCGCTAGAAAATGCCTATCGGGTGGAGGACAAAGCCATTTTTTTTAATTTGGGTTTATCATACGACCCAGCCACCAAATTCTTAGATTTTAATTATTTGACACAAGACTCCTATGATAAGTTATCACGATTCGTGTCCAAACAATTATATAGGATATACTATAGTAGATAGCAGAACAATATATTCGGAGCCAACTTTGAATATAAAGAAATCATAGCATGTGTAAATTACTGAAAGGATTGGGGTTGAGACGGCCTTTGATCTCTTTTACTTAAGGCGAGCCCTACAGATCGAGCTCGTCATCGTGGAAATGGCTCTAGTGACCCCGTTGCAATGGCGAGCATACTGAAATCGACGACGGAGTCTGCGAGTCTGTACCTCTGTAAGGATGGAGCATAAGTTGCTCACCTAATTTATACCCGGACACAACACTTCCTACCACAAGCAGCGTGCATGGGTTTCTTGATATGCTGCTGTTTCAGTCGGCTCAGTAAGACAAACTGACAAGCGCCAGGGATGTTTCCGCTTGACTAGTGGTGGATAAAGATGCGGTGGTTAGTGGCTAGAAACCTTCAGCAAAGACATTAATAAAAGTATTGCCAGCTCCTATTGAGCTCTGTAGTTTGACCCGGTGGCGTGGGTCGAGTGGTCAATGCTTCTAGACCTAACGTTGTGTGGCGCGGGTTACATGCAAGAAATGTCGGCTGTATGCAAAATATTACCAACGACAGCCAATAAGGACTTCGGGATGGCGACTCGTACAAGAAAAATCAAGAATTAAAGTCAAGATAATAATACCCTAGCGGAATGAAGCAATGTAATATCTTAGTCAGGGCCGAGTAGGTATAGCCCTGTAATAAGATAATACATAGCAACTTTCAACTGAGCTCTGTAGTTTGAAAGACCGGTTGTGTTAGGTCATTCGTGGTAGAGGGGTAAAGTCCGGATATTAAATAAATATATTATTTTGAAGTATAGCCAAGTGATAAGGCTTCCGGTTTTGGTGCGGAAAATCAAAGGTTCGAATCCTTTTGCTTCAAAAGGGTTTATAACTCAGTTAGTTAGCCACGCTAACAACTTTAATTCTGGAAAGTCTCGTGCAAGAAAAGGTATAAATACGCGGTAATTTGATAATTAGCACAATTCTAATTTGTGAAAAAGTTAAGTGACAGAGGGCACGGGTCTTTGCTCTCACTGCCCTTTAGACTGATCGCGCGCTGTCGAAATTATTATCCATTCGTCAATGGAAGCGCTAAATTTCGAACTTCCGCATATCAAACATATCTTTCATTTAGTAGAGGCCCAGAACAAGAAATTATCCAGCAAATATCAAGATGAGGTCGGTGATTAATGTTGATGTCATCCACACAGGCAATATCTTCCCGAGATATTCCACAAGACGGCACTTCCGATCCGGCCTAAAAAACCATGGGATCGGGACCGTGATGGACCAAAAATATTGTGCTGATATCCTGGTGTGCTGGGTATCATCAAGGACTGTGTCTAGTGAATATTTTATTTGTTATAGCAATGTTACTCATTAGCTCCAATCCCCGTCCAGGAAAACGTCGTTAGATCGACAACTTTCAGGACATCATCATTAATTACAATGTCAATGTCAGAATTGAAAGATCTGTTAATTCGCCCATGACCGCCGTGCCTTTATCTGAAAGCCACTCCGTACGCGTCTGACCGGCAAAAAAAAACAGTGTAAGTACCCGCCAGCCGCTACGAGCTCCAGAATTTCTTCAGAACAAAGTGTGTGTAGTATGGCACACAGTTATGCTTTTAGATATCATTTGAGCGCGGGCTCCGGAATTCTTTAGTGTCTATTTCAGTTAGCTTAAGTTCAAGAATGACACTCTTACTAAAAGCAAAGAGCACATCAAAGAAGCAGATAAGCTCATTCACCGTGCATAATTTAAAGCAGACTCTGAGAGTAAAAGTCTTCTCGGTGGCGCTCCTATCGAACTTACAAGTAGGAGTCGTCGATCCTCAGGAGAACAAAAAAGTTAGAGAAACAAGGAGCTGACTTCAGAGATGGCTTTGAGGATCAACAAAAATGGCGCTCACATGGAGGCATAAGTATACACCTCTGAAAGCGTATCTATCACGTCGGCGAAAATACGGTCAGCTTCAACAGGAATCGCTAGAGGTGGTGTGCATCGAATTCTTTGAGGACAAAGACGGGTAATGGCTTTCTCTCCAGACACGAGAGATGGTTCAGATGGAGCATCTATGTTGTATTTGACATAGATTGGCTCGATTGACATGAGCCATGGATAGACTTGAACGCCATAAATTAGGGATTGATCCACCTCAAAATTGAAAACATTAAGTGCCACGCACTTCTCTCCGCCATGAATCTTAGAAATCATGTAACAGGGTTTCACGAATCCTAATAACAGCGGTGTGTGCGTGACACACAAGATATGCGTAATGTGACCACACACCCAATCAAGAATACGGGACGGGGTTAGGTAGCCAGTAGTTATATATGTATTTAGATTTTACAATATTAGTATATCTAGAAAAATCTAAACTTTTAACATTAGGATAAAACAGAAGTGTTCGTTTGCCTATGAAAGGCATTTAAGTACTTTTTAGAGGCAGCGGATTGCGATCCGCTGCACTAGTACTTGGTCCTTGTATAGAACGACAGGTCGGTGACCTAAAGACGCTTCCTCAAGCGCAAAGCTACGGCAGCCCCGCTGCAAATCACGAATTTTGAGGCACTTTATCGAGGAAACAGAAGAGCGTAGACTGGCTTCAAAACGTGAGAGCGTAGGTGCATGACATAGCACTGTATGAAATAGATCGCTGTGGTACTGTTTAGGGATCTAGCTATGCTCTGGAAGCAATTCAGATGAAAGAGGAATTAGCGACGGTAAAAGCATTTACGAGGTCGAACTCTTGCTGCGACCAGTATAAGCAACTGCACAAATTAAGTTTGCATTGACTAACGCAGTACACGTCATTACATGCTTCACAACATCTAAGAAATAGCTTGAGTAAGCCCGTGTATTCTTGCAAACCGTCGATGTGCTAAAGTCTTGGCGAGGGAGGGGCTGTCGATACAGATTACTTTGCCGATACCAGCCCAGCTTTACTGTGTCGCAATCAGACGCATTTATAATAATAAAAAATTGAGTGTCATGCGTCAGCATATATCGCATTTGTTGGGTATGCAGAATCAACAGGAAAATGCCAGAGGCACGCGAGTTTGATGAATTAGTAGGTTCTATTATTACATGCTGTCATTCCAGCGCGCACATTTTCTATAGTATTGTAAATAGTTGTAGTGTCAAACTTTGTACGATCGTATCTTAACAGAACATGAGTTGAATTCTATATACCTTTCAGGAATTCCAGACACATTATGTACTTACCTTGAGTCGTATCATCACCTGGCTCTCAGGAGCGACTTGGTCGTTAAGTGCTCTATAAAGTCCACTAAACTTGATCTGCCGGATTTAAACCGCTTGTGTCATCGGTCCGATTGTAGAGCTGCGTAAATGTGACTGAGAGTTGACACATGTCCCCATCGGATACATGTTGAGGCTCTCGAAGATAGCTATGTGCCGCTATAACCGATGAAGATCATGAATATCAACCGCATAGCGGTTGTTCTCCACCGGCTGATCAATGAGTTTGGTAAACAACGGTGTAGAGTGATGCGAACTGTTTTAATAATTTCAGAAACGGATTAAATAATCAAGCTGAATGATACTGCTCTGGTATTCTAAGTAATACTTGAGATAAAGCAATACATGGATTGCTATAATATCTAACTCGTTGCTTCAAAACCAGAAGAACTTAGTAATGTTAATGCTGAACCAAACGCATAAATTATGAGTTTTTATACTTGTGTATGAAGGCCAATCAAGACGCAAAGTTCTAATT